GCCACGGTGGTGCAGGTCCAACAGTGGCTGTGCAGCCATGACGCGGCACACAGCCACAGCTGGGCTTGTACCACAGTGGCCGTCCCGGACGCCCAGACGCGTCACAGCACACAGACGCGGTTCACAGCCACAGCTGGACCTGTACCACCGTGGCCGTCCCGGACGCCCAGACGCGTCACAACACACATATACATTCACCCCAAGAATGGTACAGGTCCACCAGTGGCTGTGCAGCCATGACGCGGCACACAGCCACAGCTGGGCTTGTACCACAGTGGCCGTCCCGGACGCCCAGACGCATCACAGCTAATGAGTCCACTTGCTGAAACAGACTGTGCCTAGATTCTATTTCACACGTCCGCAGATGGATGTCTGGACACTGTCACCGGCGGGCGTCCCGGACGCCCACCCACAGTCTCGCATTCGGATTCACACGTTAAAGGATGGACGCTGTCCCCCGCGGCCGTCCCGGACGCCCGTCAACGCTCTTACACCATGAATCCCTCGCCCTTCGACCAAGTGGTCGACTCGTCGTCCGTTCTCTAATGACAGCATCTCGACTATAAGTAATGTCTTCCCCATGTCCTCAAATTTTATTGATGTTCTTAAAATACTCCTATTGATTATCGATGGATAGCATATTTAGGACTCTTCTTGATGTCTTCGCAGCATCTAGTGCGCCTCATGTTTTCTCGCCGAGTTCCCGCTCACCCCTCGTTTCTGTGGCTAGCTCGTTTTGTACAGGCATCCAACGTCATTGAACGCCGTCGGCGCGCCGCAAGCTGTGGGGCAGAATCCCCCTTAGCGCCTCATGTGTTCAATGAGCCAATGTTGTGCGGGCATGCTGCGTCGATGAAAGCCTTCTGGCGCGCCGCATGTTCTGACGTTGAGATCCCGCCGGCGCCTCTAGGCTGCAAGCGGCCCATTTTGTAGCGCCTCGTTGCAGTATTCTTCGGAAGCCGTCTATCGGGGTTTAGGGTGCCCAAGTACCTTATAATCATCCCCTTGCACGACAACCACGGTAACGATTTTCGTTCTCCTCGTACACCGCTCCCGCTCCTGTCATGCCCTCCTGCTCTTATGCTTCCGCTTTTCTCAACGCCTCTCATGGCGAAACCAACATCTGGCTCAACGAACGTTGGCAAGAGATCACTCACGTCACCGGCACACCTTGGGAGGTCTCCGACAATCTCGCTGACGACGCTCGTGCTCCCTTCAACGCTTCTTGGACCGCCAAGGAGGCCCGCGCGGTCGCGGTGTTCGCCAAACACCACCTCGGCCTTGCCTCTGAGGGCGCCGCCGCTCAGGACAAGTTTTTGAAGAAAACCCTCGATGCAGACTCTGTCGGCCGCGATCTCTGGATGAACTGGATCGCCAAGGGTGTGGTCTCATGGCGCCTCAACAGTATTGTCGACCAGGCTCTCAAGTCTATTTCCATGGACCCGAAGTCGGTTATTCAACGGGTTGGCACTCGCTATGTAAGTATTGAGTACTAATCTCCCTGTGGATGTCGCTCACGTCCACAGCTCCCGATACTCAACGAAGCGCAAGCAATGGATCCCGGCCGCAAGGCTATCGCGTTCGAGTTGCTTGGTGAAGCCGCCTTCGACAACGAAGTCCACTACCTCAAAAACAAATATATATCATTCTTCAGCAGTCTCATGGTGGGCGCCTGGAGTCGACATCGCAAGATGAACAAGCGGGACGTCGACACCCTTGGCAAAGACATTAACAACGTCAACTACATGTGGACTAGTGAGTTTGTCCTATCGAGCTAAGTTAACTAATCTCTGACGTCGCCTAGATATGACGAAGCCTGGCGCGATGGAACCAACCCTCCCCCAGATTACTTCATTCATGAAGCAGGCGAAGAAGCTCGTTGAAAGGCTCTCTTTCTATGGAGACGCGGAGTCCGCTCAGCTGCAGACGGAGCGTCTGGCTCAGATCACACAGATGGGCTGGGCCGCCGTCAAGGACGAGAAGCATATCGATGAAATCAAAAGTAAGTAAAACTGGATTCTGGCGGCAGATACTAACATGAGGATTAGAACTACCCAAGGTTATTCGCGACGCGCTCCAAAAGCTCGCCAGCAAGAGCGATATCGACAAGGTCAACTCGATCACGCTGCAGACGATCGAGATGCTCGACGCGAGCGAAGAAGAGATCGACATCGACTTCAACGACACCGTCCCCCTTATCGACTGGTCCGAAGGGACCGAAAACTATCACCACATGACGAGCCGAGAGATCCTCACCGCTCTAGGCTGCGGCGAGACTCTCCCGTACTTCCAATCTCGAGTCGACTACAACGACTCGGTCAACCCACAGACGCCCGCCGGTCAAGCATATCTCGACGATCCCGACAATTTGGAACGAACCGAGCTTCTCGTGCCCGCATGGCATCAACTCGTCGGCATTTACAAGATGGTCGATAAGACGTTCGACGACGGCGGGTCGCAGCTGTTGATGGATAGCGTCGGCGTCGGGAAGACGATGCAAGTCGTCGGGTACTTTTGTGTACTCGCGTATTTTCGCGAGTACTTCGCCACGACGGGGCACTTCCCTGGCGTCTTCAGTAAGTCAATTTATATTTCGACCGAGTGCAATATTCTGATGACTTCGACCAGAGGATCACAAATGCACGTCCACCGGTGGGAACCTACCCGACCTTCCCTTCCTCGTCGTCGTTCCGTCCAGCTTGCTTTACCAATGGAAGACCGAGTTGGGCCGTTACTTGCGATTCGGCGCGTTCGACATCTTGCCGTACACGGGCACCTTGCCCAACCGCAGAGATTGGTGGAATACCGTCATGAAGACTAGCCAACAGGGTAAAGACAGCAAAAAAATCATACTCGCAACATCTCCGGTACGTATCCGTCCTGTTTCCGACATGCTTAATTAACGTCCAATTTAGGCTATTCAAGACGACGCCAAGCGACGGTTTGAACCCGGCGTGAAGAAGAACGTGTTCGTTCCGAGGCCGCTGCCGTATTACATTGAAATGGCGAAGAACGGCACTGTCTATACTCGGCGATTCCTGGGCGTCGCCGTCGACGAACTCCACGCTGCGCGCCGCAGCACTAACAAAACTCATATGGCATATCGCGCGCTGCGCCCTCTCGCTCACGGTTTCATCGGAATGACTGCAACCCCCATCACGACTTCACCTGTGGTATGTTTCTTTTCATTACAACTGTAATAAACTAATTATAATCAGGATCTTTGGTCCCTTGGCCAAATCTTGGACTTGAACGGCTACGACGACGTTGACACCCTCGCCGACATGGATCGCGAACTCCGTCGCGCGGCTCGCATCGAGCGGAACAACAGCGTCGCTGCCGGCAAGAAGGGTGCGCCCGGTCGAGCGTACTTGGTTGGCCTGGCAGAGAACCCCGATGCACCGCCGTCGGCGTACGAGCCCGTCATGCTCAAGTGGGTGAAGAAAATGCGCGAGGATTTTGCGGACGTCATCATTCGGCGGACCATTGACTCAGTCAACCCTCACACCGGTCTCCCCATTTCTGGCCTCGAACCGTGGCGAGAGCATATTCTTGAGCTCGAGCTATACGATTGGGAGCTCGAGATCATGCATCGCAGAGCCGGCACCGACGTGAACAAGGGTGCTTGGGATGCTATCAACGTGTTATGCGAGGTGAGCTTTCTGTCTCATATGATTTGAACAGGCTGTCCCGTCGTGGCCGTCCAGGACGGCCACGATGGGACGCCCCCTCCCTTGGTTGCCACTGGTGCAACGTCCACCGGTGGGCGTCCAGGACGGCCACGGTGCGACGCGCACCCTTGTCCACGCGGCCCTCCTGGGACGCACAGCCTCTGCTCGTGCCTCCCGCACCATCCTCGCAGGGGCAGTGAGCCTCCGCGGCCGTCCTGGACGGCCATCTCATGTTCACGCTCACTCATTCGCTTTACAGAAATTTTACCTCGATTTTCGACGCGGCCTTATCCACCCGCACGCCGTTAAGGATACGGAGCCGTCGCCTAAGGCCCCCAAGTCCGAGGCAAACGCAGCGGCTACGCCTCTACCGCCAGACACCGCCAACACCTCGACATCCGCTCGTCCCTCCGCAGCCGACTCGACGACCGTCGACAACGCGGCGATCCCTCTTGCATCGACAGACGTTTCACCCCTTGTCGACATCTCCGAGACCGACCGCCAGCCAGCGGAGCAGTCTGCAAATCCCGATGCCGACGCTCAGTTGCCCGCGGAGGCCCTTCGGAGGGTTGAGGAGTGGAAAACCCCCGAGAGTCGTGAAGATTGGGAGTCGTCGGATCGGAAGTCCATCAAACTGGACATCCTCGTTCAATTGGTTCTGCACCACCTCGAGCACGATTCGGCGACTCCGCTCGCAGTCCAGGAGGACTTCCGGAGCCTTCGAGTCCGCACGGACGAGGAGGAGGATGGTGCTCCGCGCACCGAGCCCATCGAGGGGAAACCCGACAAGATCATCGTCTACTCGGGTTTCCCTTCGTCTAATCATATTATCGGCGACGTAAGTTTTTTTTTTCATCTCAAATTGTCGTACTGATTATAATTCATCGCGTTAAAAGGTATTCGACGTCTACGGGATCAAGTACCTCGAGTGCAACGGGGAAGTCGACGTCAAAGACCGAGCGCCGGTTCTCGACGAGTTTCGAGCGGCGGGTCGTGACGGACCTCGCGTCCTCATCCTCTCTGGTGCTGGCATGTTTGGTCTCAACCTCGCCGACGCCAACATCATGATAATGGCGGTATGTATCCCTCCTCACGGTTTTTTTTGTCTAACTCTGTGCAGGATACGTGTTGGTCAGCGCAAGACGACGAGCAACTGCGAGGTCGGATTTATCGCCGCCCGCAAAACAAGATCGTTCAAGTTTATCGCCTCATCGCCCTCCACACACCCGACGTCTTCCTCAACACGATTTGTTTCGGCAAGGCCAAGATGCACGCTGCGTTCGTGAACGCGCCGACAGTTATTCGTATGTATTTCATTTCATTCGACATATATATTGCCTAACCTATATCTTCAGAAAACTACTTCGCGCACCAAGGCGACAGCGAGGACGCTCTGCTGTCCGTCAACGAATCGGACATGGAGGGTCTCGATGACTCTGAATCCGAGGCTGCACCGAAGTCGAAGAAGCCTTCGAAGAAGCCTTCGAAGAAGGCGGCGAAGAAGAAGGGGAAGCAAGCCGCCAAGAAGTCAAAAGGCAAGGGAAAGCAGAACGCGGACGAATCCCCCGAGTCCGAGGAAGACGCCGCCCCGCCGCCGTCGAAACCCAAGGGAAGGAAGAAGGACGTCGGCACTGAGGGACCACTGGCACCCGCCGTCCAGAAACCGAAAGGCAAGCGCCAGCGTTCGTACACGGCCACGTCGGGTGGTGGCCCTTCGCGGAAGAAGCCAACGCAACGCAAGGCCCCCGTCAACGCTGAGGTGATCGAGGGTTAGGGTTAGGGTGGTAGCTTGCCGCGACGAGCGAAGCGAGGAGGGGTAAGCGTAAGGAAGAGAAGTTGAAACTTGGTCAACGGTGTTGGGTATTTCCCAACACAACCGTTTCGTATATATACTCTTCAGGACCAATTAAGTTTCGAGGTGGAGTACCATCGGATGTCTGTAGAGAGGCGGGAGACGCCTCTACGGGTGCATCCAAATGACATCATTGTATAGGAATAGATGTTAGTAAGCGTTTCAGCTATACTTAGCATGCTTGATGACTGATGTGAATGCCAAGGCCGATGCGATCGCATCGGGATTACCTTAAATGATATAATCGTCCCACAGTGGGAAAATAACCTATAAATAGGTGTTTCATGTAAAAATACCTGAAACTTCTCACGCCCTAAGAATAGTCAGTTCCACGTGACTAATAAGCGCTCGGGATTAGCCGGGCGTCTATCTCCTACGTTCTAGAATGTTCCCCGGTTAAGGTTCACGTGCTAGGGTTCTCGGTTAGAGTTCGGGTTAGGGTTAAGGTTAGGCTATCATGATCTAAGATCAGTCAAATTCCTTTATAGCGGTTAAGCTAGTACTCACGTTAGGGTTATAGTTAGGGTTC